AATCCCTCAGCAAATCGGAACCCTGAGCCCCACAATAAACCCTGCAAATATCAACTCAATCGGCTATGTATATGGTTACCAATACTAGCCCCGCATGATTCACAACAGGCGATAGAAACTGAGGAAGTCGCTTCCTGTGCTACCGCATACAGACCTCAAACATCTCTGACCCCTGTTACCAACTCATTTTCTGCACAGCAGGCGAGGCAGTGGCAGGAAGGCACCTAGCTGGTAATTACGACTCACGACTCTGCACCAGATTCGCATGGTGCCTCGACTTCTGTCCTGCCGGGCATTTTAGCCCGAACTCTTGCCGCAGAGTGGCCACGAATTACGGCTACACGCTGCTTTACACCAATTGACATCTGGAGCGCAAGTGAGTGAAACACCCTAAACCCCTTAACCCTAAACCCCTAAACCCCTAAACCCCTAAACCCCTAAACCCCTAAACCCCTAAACCCCTAAACCCTAAATTCTAACCCTAAACCCTAAGCCCATCATGTCGCGCCTGAGTTGCGCGGATTGTCGGTGTCTTCATGGAAAGCTCCGCAATGCACACCCACGCACACATCTCTTGCTCATAAGATTGGCCTGGAGCCGACATAGGGTTTAGGGTTTAGGGTTTAGGGTTTAGGGTTTAGGGTTTAGGGTTTAGGGTTTAGGGTTTAGGGTAACCCCTTTCAGGTCACCCGGAAAGGTTCTGAAGCCCTGAAAACTTGAAGCGCGGGAAGCCCCCAACCACGAGATGCCAACACTGTCTTCGGGGTGAAGCCGCTGCCCTAAAGCCTAACGCCTAAACGGGTTTAGGGTTTAGGGTTTAGGGTTTAGGGTTTAGGGTTTAGGGAAGGTATTTCCCCCTAAACCTGCTACGAAGCAGGACCTCTATTCAGGTTGAAGTCTGATTGTTGGGGTTTGGGGTTTAGAGATAGTTTAACAAGAGTATGGATGCGGTGTTATTCTTTTTGGGCATGACAAGTATTTGAGATCGTCTGTTTTTGTTGTTGTTTTTTTTTTTTTGGGGGGGGGGTTCTTGATCCTGACGGGTCTTGGATCGTCCCTGCCTCCAAACCCTAGAGTACGGCATACACGCATGAACTCACTTATGCCCTCATATGATTGGTACTAAAACACCACATAGTTTTCAAGGAGGCGATACTAACACTAAATTAGGAGAAAGATGAAGAATTGATACTACCAAAAGGAGGGAAGTGAGTGCAATATGTCTGGGACCCAGAGTTTAGGTTCCTTTATCATCCCTTGAAACTAAAAAGGGTGCCCTTTGTATTCCTAGGTTACTCTTGGGTCTAGAAGTTAACATATCCTGAGTCCTGCTAAAAGACTAAGCACTCGGCCTCTCTTACATTGGGTACCCAAACTTTCACTAGAATTCCAAGAGCCGACAATATGTAAACCTCAAGTGAGGGTTTAGGGTTTAGGGTTTAGGGTTTAGGGTTTAGGGTTTAGGGTTTAGGGTTTAGGGTTTAGGGTTTAGGGTTCAGCTGATTCTGTTCAACTTCAATCTTTCCGGCTCAAGTTTTGGGGAGAGCGTGGTCAGAAGCCCCATGATGAGCGCAACCCTTCTGGAGAGCCAGGGCTTGTGGATGCTTACGGTTCAGCGTTTAGGGTTTAGGGCTAGGGTTTAGGGTTTAGGGTTTAGCGTTTAGGTTTTAGGGTTTAGGGTTTAGGGTTTGTTTAGGGCTTAGGGTGTAGGGCTCAGGGAACTAGAGGCCTCCTCCTCGCCATGTGCGGCCGCTGGATTGCCCTGGCGTCCCTGGCCCTGGTGGGAGGAACCTGGTCCACGCCAGCCTGCACCGCATCCCAAGAGCGAGGTGGGAATTTTCACTGAAATAAACAGGGGACCCCCAATATATATATATATATATATATATTATTTATATTTTATGTATTTACATTTATTTTTTTACAGTTACATACATACGTGTAGATAGATAGATAGATAGATAAGTATATGTATACTGTATATATATATACCCAAATAGCAGGATTCCCTTAGAATAAGGACCCCAAGAAGGTACCCCTAACTTCGGCAGCTCCCAGGTAAGGATGCATTCAACTGCACAGGGCAAGTGACTGCAGCTGGATCTGTCCCAGGAACATTTGCATTTCTATTTTGGGGTTTAGGGTTTAGGGTTTAGGGTTTTATAGGGGACCCTGTATAGAAATATCTTCTTCAGGAATACATGTTGCTAGATCCTTGGTCCTCCATCCGAAGTCCGAAATCCTCAGGTAGGCAAGTCTCTGGGACTAGCGCCGACACGGGTTTGGGGTTTAGGGTTTAGGGTTTAGGGTTTAGGACTGATGCCGAACTGAGGCCGAGGAGATGGAGAAGTTCAACATGCGCCTCTCAGACTCTTCGTGGGTGCGGCACCTTCCGTGGCGATTATCAGGGTTGAGGGTTTGCAGGGTCTAAACCCCAAACCCCAAACCCCAAACCCTAAACCCTAATCCCCAAGCCTAGGTAGCATAGAACATTCTGGTTTAGGCTTTGAGGTTTGTTAGGGACGCCCTAAGCCCGAAGCCCTAAGCCGTAAACCCTAACCCCTAAGCCCTAAACCCCAATCCAACCCGGAGGCACTTCCGGCTCTACACGAACGTCACTGCAATCACGCAGCCTCGTCCAGGGCAAAGCTCGGCATGTTACTGGGTGCTTGTTTAGGGTTTTGGGGTTTAGGGTTTAAGGTTTGGGTTTAGGGTTCCCGTGTTTAGGGCTTCTGGCAAATAACTAGTGTTGGGGGTTTAAGGTTTTAGGGTTCTGGAATCTAGGGCTTCTGGAAAACAGTGTTGAGGGGTTGAAGGGTTTAGGTTTAGGGTTTAAGGGTTATCGCTACTGGTAACTAGGGTTGAGGGTTTAGGCTTCCAGGGTTCTACTTGTAGGGTTTAGGGCTTCTGGTAAATAGGGTTTAGGGTTTTGGTATTAGGGCTTCGGGCAAGTATTTGGCTGTCCTAGTTCCTCGGATGGACTCTGATAAATCGAAGGGTTTCCACAGTAGGGCATGGTACTCAGAGTCCCTAAACCCGAACCCTAAACCCTAAACCCTAAACCCTAAACCCAGGTGAGACCGCGCACCTTGAAGCAGCGCTGCATTACGTGAGCCACGCCGTGCCGATCAACGATGAGAACTTCGCCAACGAAGAGCAGGACTGCCTGGTGACTGCGAGGACCAACAGGTGGGTTTAGGGTCTGGGGTTTAGGGTTTAGGGTTTAGGGTTTAGGGTTTAGGGTTTAGGGTTTAGGGTTTAGGGTTTAGGGTTTAGGGTTTAGGGTTTAGGGTTTAGGGCAGGGCCGCACGGCCACAGAATCCAAAGAGCAAAGCCCTCACGCCCCCTCTGTTTATTGGTCCTTCTAAACTCAGTTATAAACAGATAGGGTCCCACAAGGCCTCACCCCAGCCCGTAACGAGACTCGTACTGGCAAAAAAGCGCTTAGCCAGTCCCCTCCGTAGCGACATTCTTAAGCCTGGGCTCTAAACCCTAAATCCTAAACCCCTCATGCAAAACCTAAACCCTACTTACATTGAGATTCATGGGTAGTTCTAAGTACGTAGGCTTATACATACTCTAAATAGGGTTACACGTATAGTTACCCCACTTTTACCATGTCATGAACCTCCAAGTATGCCCTAAACCCCTAAAACCCTAAACCCTAAAACCCTAAACCCTAAACCCTAAACCCTAAGCCCTAAGCCCCTAAGCCCTAAGCCCTAAGCCCCTAAGCCCCTAAGCCTAAAGCTCAAGCTCCCAGCAGGTTCCTCTGCGTCCGAGGCGTTGGCCCCGAGCGAAGCGCGCAGCTTTCGATTGGGGTGCAAGCCAGTGTAAATGCAAATCTCCAGGCCTCGGGCTAGGGTTTAGGGTTTAGGGTTTAGGGTTTCGGGTTTCGGGTTTCGGGTTTCGGGTTTCGGGTTTCGGGTTCAGGTGCTTGGAAGTGTGCAGAGTTTAGGTTTTAGGGTTTATGGGTTTGCTCTCGTATCCCTCGCGTACAGAGCTTCTTTTCCATGATCAGCTCACCGGCCCCCCCAGGTCCGTGTGCAAGCGCAGGAGACCCTCAACGACGAGCTCAGGAGGTTCTCCATGGACATAGGTGGGGGTTTACGCTAGTAAGGGGACCCTAATGTAAATCCCCAAATAGTAGGATCCCCTTAGAATGAGGACCCCAGTAAGGTACCCTAACCCTAATTTATAAACCCTAAACCCTAAACCCTAAACCCTAAACCCTAAACCCTAAACCCTAAACCCTAAACCCTAAACCCTAAACCCTAAACCCTAAACCCTAAACCCTAAACCCCCTAACATCGCACACCCCCAGGTGGCAAAAACGGCCGCTCCGCCTTCCACCTCTTTCGGATGCCGGAGGATGGCACTCTTGATGCCTGGCGCTTGAGCCTGCAAGTGCCCGAGGAGGCACCTTGGGAATACTTGGGAACATTGTTTTAGATTTTTGGGGTACTATAACTCCGAATAAGCAGCTAGCATCACAATTTTTTGCCAGGGTTCCGAGTTCAGTCGAGGTGCAGAACCCGGAGGTTGTCTACCACGCATACGTCATGCACGAGTCCTCTCCCTGCATCGCCAAAGTGCTTAAGGAAGGGGGCTGCTTCGACCCCATCCAAGTCTGGTCCTGTTTCCAATCGGTCCCCGTGTCTAGGTGAGACTTTACGACAACTTATGTCTTTGTAATCAGTTTCGGGTCCCTAAACCCTAAACCCTAAACCCTAAACCCTAAACCCTAGACCTTAAACCCTAAACCCTAAACCCTTAACCCTGGACCCTTTTAGTGGGGGTTAAGGAGCAACCAAGGTGTCATTCAGGGCGCCAAGCCCTACAGGGAACTTGCAGATCGCCATGAGTGAGACTTGGTAGCCCAGTGGTGCCCTTTACCCTTCTCGTTGGGTTCTGGTTTCCCTAAACCCTAAACCCTAAACCCTAAACGGTTAGTAGAACATGGTTAATGGGCTACCAAGGAGAGTTTCGGAACTTCCGGGATGATGACGATCAGCAGGGGCTCCCTGCCGGCCCTGCAAGAGGCCTGGCAGCCCTAAACGCGCCCTTCTGCCCCCTTTCTTTTTGGGGTTCTGGAGCCTAACACCCTAAACCCTAAACCCTAACCCGAAACCCTAAACCCTAAAACCTAAACCCTGGCCCTAAACCCTAAACTGTATGGCTACTGGGGCAACCAAGGAAGGGAGGTGGCTGCTCTTCGTGGTGTGCAACTTGCGGTACCTGAGGCTTGGTGGCCCAGTGGTACCCCTTTGCCCTTTTTTGGGGGTCAGGGTTCTCTTCTAAAGCAACTAACCCCCAAATAGGGTACCCTTATTCGAATCTGGTTACTGGAACCCTAAACCCTAAACCCTAAACCCTAAACCTTAAACCCTAAACCCTAAACCCTAATTTTGCTGGGCTACCAAGGAGAACCACCTCCAACCCCAGCTGCCCAGAGGCACGTCTGGACGTCGAGTTTCATGCAGAGCATCAGCAGCTGCAGAAGCTGGGTAGGCCCTGTTTTGGGAGATTTTGTCGTTTGGGTTTAAGAGGCCTAAACCCTAAACCCTAAACCCTAAACCCTAAACCCTAAACCCTAAACCCTGAACCCTAAACCCTAAACCCTAAACCCCAAACCCTAAACCATAAACCCTAAACCCTAGCGGCCCTAGCCCTAGCGGCCCTAGCATATGGCCGTCCAAAGGAAACTGTGGACCGGCGCTGCCATCATGGTCCTTGGCCCTGCTCTGGCCTTGTTCTGCGTCAATGCGATGTATTGGCTGCTGGGTAGGCCTTTGCGAGAATTTCTTATTTCGTTTATTGGGTCTAGGGTTTAGGGTTTAGGGCTTAGGGTGTCGGGTTTAGGGTTTAGGGCCCTTGGGAAAGTTCCAAAGTTAAGAGAAAGAGGAGGATTTGTGTTGCAGTTTTCAAGGGGCCAAGCGAGGCTGACATACACCTTCTTGAACCATGTGAGCTCCGCGCCTCAGACGCGACACCGGCTGTGGCCGGTCTTCATGCCTTTGCCAAGCTGTGAGCACTTGGACATGGTTCGGGAGAAGTTGCAGCTCATCTACCAGCCCATACCCTTCTTTCCCGCCCTACTTGCTTTGATGATTGGCGTCTTCTTGGCAACAGCTGCCCAGTTCGTGATCACGCACTATGGCTTGATGACAAGGACCGGAAACAGGGACATTTGCTTCTACAACGAGAAGTGCTACCATCCGGGTCTTGCGTGGGACATCCCATGGAACCACATCTTGTCAAACCTTGCATCTGAGTAGCTGCGTGAGTACACTTTACACCTTTTTGGGATACTCTAATCCCCTATAGAACTGAAAGTGTAAACCCTAAACCTCAGCAATTAAGGCATACTTCGTGGCCGGTGTGCACACCATGCTTCAGACCTTCTTCGCGGAGAGCCGGTGTCGGCTCTTCATGCGGAGGACCATGGAGGCATTATTCCGGAGTGTTCATCTGGATCCCTATGGTGGAATTACCCGGCCGGAATGGGCCAAGATCTTCGATGATGCTGATGTCAACAAGGATGGGGTTGTGTCCAGACAAGAGTGGCAGGAGCAGCACCGAGACGTGGTCGCCTTTGACTTCATAACTGATGCCGGCCACCTCTCTCGTGAGGACTGGCTTGCTGCCTTTAAAAGGCTGGACGCCAATGGCGACGGCGTGCTGACGAAAGCGAAGTTTCGCTTGGCATCTCGCTCAATTGATGTTCGGACTTTCTACGCGATCGGTACCACGTTCATCGCAGAAGGTGTCGGCAGCATGTGCTACCACCTCTGCCCATCTGTGGAGACCTTTCAGTTCGACACATGCTTCATGATCTCCATTGCGCACTTGCTTACCATGGCTCTCGCTGAATCTTGTCCTTTCTCTTCAGCTAGATCTCCCAATTATAGGGCTTCTACAGGAGACTATGTAGACATACTAAGTCAAAAGGGCCTCCATAAACCCTAAACCCCAAACCCTAAACCCTAAACCCTAGACCTTAAACCCTAAACCCAGGCTCCATCTGCCTTAGAGAGCCTCACTCGCCCCACTTGCGGGAGCCCAAATGGCCCTGAAGGGATGCACATTGGGATGTTCCCCCTGATACGAACAGTCCGTAAGAGGGATCCTAAACCCTAAACCCTAAACCCTAAACCCTAAACCCTAAACCCTAAACCCTAGGGGGGGGGGGGGGGGGTACTA